ACACATGTCCTGTGCACTGGCTGAATGGCTCACACATGTGTACACATAAACACAAAGGCACGCATGTACATATAAGCACACATCCATACACACCCACATAAACTCTTTCTTCCAAGCTGAGCTCCACAGGTAACTAGACAAATGAGTTCAAAACATTAGGTCATAACGCAGGCCAAAGTCAGACGTGGGAGTGAAGACCTGTAATTTTAGCTCCTTAGAGGCTTAGGCAGAAGAAACCCCAAGTTCAAGGACAGCCTAGGTAGCTTCACGAGATCACTGAGCGAAGAAAGTGACTGGAGCTCAGCGGACAAGGTACTTGCCTAGAATATACAAAAACTGGGGTAGAGTCTCCAGAAGTGGAAGAGTGGGATGCGGAAAATAAAGGCTGATGTTTTTCAAAAGCTAGAATGTGAACTTAGAGCAATACAATCATCCAAAGCAAAATGCCTGTCACCAGCACAGGCCACATCGGAACCCGGGAGTTCAGGAAACCCAGCTTTCTGAGTGGTAACATGGCAGAAACACGCCAGTACAGGGAACACTCTGACTGTTCTCTCTGAGAGAGCCACACCCCTCCACAAAGCCTGCCAGGCACAGCCTTGACCTGTGGGCATTCTGTACAGCCCAGGACTCACACAGAAGATATAGCATATCTCAAGTTAAGTAGCAAAAGGGAGTGCCCTGGGAAAGATGAAGGCCCAAAATCTCTGTGTCCTCGGTGCCGCCATGGGCACCTCTGCCCCACTGCAACCCCACTTGGGCTGGTGGTCAAAAACAGATTAGAGAAAACTACCTGAGAAGGACACCTCTATGATCTGAAGAACTCAAAGGTCACCTATCTCTTGCAGATGGAAGAGGACCATGGGAGAAACATGTAGGTACCATCACCAATAAGCAAACCAAGGCTGTGGGGTTAGGGTGCTGAGTACCAGGAGAGAGATGCAGACTGGAGAGGCACAGAAGACAATGGAGAGCCTGCTAAGGGCCAGGCAGCAGAGAGCCTGCTAAGGGCCAGGCTGCAGTCAACTTTATATATTTTCATGTGACTGGCACTATGTAATTAATTCACGCTCACCATTCTTGCTCAAACAACATGTCCTGGTACTCACCTGTTCTACAACTCCTGGCCAGTCTTCTAACCATACACTTCTGTGCCCTGCCGACAGCACCCAGAAGTTTGGTCTATATGAGCAGAAGTCACCTCTGGCCCCTTCTTCCCAGTGTTTCTTTGCACAACCCTCTTTAGCCAAGCCCTTTTGGTTCTTTCTCTTCCCCATCCCTCATGTGTTTGCATGAGCATGTGCGTGTATGTGTAGCAGGTACTGGTTAGTGTGAACGTGCATGCATGGGTGGGGTGCAAGCGGACATGGGCACCTGTCAAGACCCAAGGTTAACTTTGGTCTTTCCACTTTTATTTTTTGAGACAGAATCTCTCACTGAACCTAGAGCTCACTAATTAAGTTAGACTGGCCAGCCAAAGAGGTTGGGGGAATCCTTCAGAATTCACTCCCACCCCCCAGATAGGAAGTGTTGGGGTTACAGAACCTGGTACCTCCACAGCTTTTCACACAGGTTCTGGGGATCTGAACTCAGGACCTTTTGCTTACTTGAAAGGCGCTTTATCAAGTGATCCATTTTCCCAGTCCTATTCTCTTTAGAGTTAAAAACAAGTAGGGCTCAGAGAAGGAATTTACAGGAGTAGGACATTCTTCCTTTACCAAAGGCCTTACCCATACTCAGGTGTGGCTGGAAAACTACTCTAAAACTACCTGCACACCGGAAGAACTTCCCAGAAGACTTGTTCTTTGCCAAGGCTGAACCCTCTCCCCGCTGGGAACCCAGTCCCCAAGAAGAAAGGCTCATCTGCCCTGGAATCCCACAGAGGAAACCTGAAGGGCCGCTCAGTTCCATATAACTGGGGGCTGGGTCTCCTTGCTGTAGGAGCCCGGCCAAGGAAGCACCTCGTTCCCACAAAGTTTAACTGCTACCTCTCCAAAAAGCAAAAAGGAGGTGATGCCTGCCTTGGGCTCCAGTTGATCTGTGCCAGCAACTTGGCTGGGGGCAAAGTGAGCCTGTGCTAAGTCTCTGGCACTTCCAACTTCCATCCACAGGTGACCAACCAGTGCCAAAGCTAACCCTTAAAGGTCCCCTCAAGAAAGGAGCCCAGTGAAGGCACTGAGTCACTGACACTTTGCCAAGTGGCTTTTTTACTTAGGGATCCAACAGAGCCTCACTCAAGCCATGCAAGGATTCTACACTGAGCCCCACCCCCAAGCCCTGGTGCGTATCTGTTAATTTGGGTGCCCACATCTTGTAGAGCTCTTCCATAATGCACCCTGGGTCTGCCTCCAAGAAGATAAACATGCCCTGTCCCCCACACCCCAGTGGCAGCAGTACAAGGACATTTAATCTAGGGCTTCAAGCTTCAGGGCTTTTCTAAACAGGTCACCTTGGGACAGACTGGCCAATGGCCACGGAGTGTGGCCAAGTTCCTGGTTAGCAAGTGTTTTTGTGTGATGAAGTTCAAAAAATGAGAACAATAAACAGATGCCCACCCCCACCCACGAGGGAAAAAATTCTCTGGAAGCATGCTCTGGGTTTGGTTTGTTTAAAACAATGCTGGAAAGGAGGGGCTTGCCAAAGATGCATTTCCGACCCATGGTACCATGCTGTGTTCCACCAAATGAGTATGTGTATCGCACACGCGCACACACAGTGACTACAGACAGTAGTGACGAGAACATTAGAATAAACACACGCGCATGTACACGTGCATCACTCAGGAGAAGCTTGAGTTCAAGACAAGCCTGGGCTAAATAGCAAGGCTCTATCTCCCCCCGAAAAAAACCTGGGGAGGCTAACTGACGGGTCAGATGAACACTTCTTTACCACAGGCCCTACTTCCAAGTAAGGGAACCCTGTACCTCCCCCAGGAGCAAGACTCATAAAAAGCTCATCCACAGTTGTTGGGGGTGTGATGGGCCCTAAATTATAGTGGAAACGAAGAAAGCAGAGTGTCTGTATAGCCACCATATTCCAGCCCTCGATGTCTGGCTCAGACACAGCATTTACATGTCTCGGGTTTTCTACTGCTGTGATAAAATGCAAAACCAAGGCAACTTTCGGAACAATGAGTTTATCTTGGGTTTACAGTTCCAGAGGACCAGGTTCCATAATGGTGGGGACAGAAGGTGGCAGACACGGTGGCTGAATCTGGAAGTTGAGAGCCGAGGGCCCACACCTCAAATCTCAAGCAGAGAGCCAGAAGAGAAGACTCAAAATGGTGCCAGTTTTTAAACTCTCAAGGCCTGCCCCTGGTAACAAGCTTCCCTAGCAAGGCCACACCTGCTAAGACTCCCCAAACAACACTAACTAGGAACCAAGTATTCAAATGCTAGAGAATATGGGGGACCTTTATGATTCAAACCTATGTATGTTTACATGTACACACACAAACACTCAAGAGATAAAGGCAGGGCTTTTGTTTGAATGATCATTGTTCTGGCTTCCAACAAGAACCTCACACCCAACCCATTCCTGCCACTGAGAGTCAACAGCTGGGTGTCAGGTCCCCGTTACACCGGCCTATGACAATGGCTGGAGTACACTCTGTGCTGAGGGACTGGGTGGCAGCTGCTTTATTGCCCCAATCCTGCTTATAAGGCACAGCTAACTTCTGAACTGCCAAGGTGGAGCGGTATTTTTTCCCATTAGATGGGAAGCTGATTTCTTGAGAAAAGCCCCATTTAGAGCCGTAAAATAAACACAAGCTAACAATCCTACAGACTTGGACATGTGAGCACAAGAGGGTTCTGTTTTCTTGAAAGCAGGTAGTCTTCACCAGGACCTTACAGGGGCGGGTGACAGCAACCATCCAGACACAAGAGTAAGCCAAGTGAGGACACAGGAGGTCTGGCCAAAACTGATACCAACTCCCCTCTGAGGCGGCTATAAACATACCAGGAGGGGCCTTCATCATGAATAATGATCTGTTGTATTTATCTGGGGAGGGTTCAGCCTAACATTCCCTCGGGATTCTCTTTGACTTGACTTTTACTCATATTTATTTATTTATTTTGTTTGTTTGTTTTTGAGACAGGGTTTCTCTGTGTAGTCCTGGCCATCTTGGAACTCACTCTGTTGACCAGCCTGGCCTCCAACTCAGAGATCCACCTGTCTCTGCCACCCAAGTGCTAGGATTAAAGGCGTGCGCCACCACTGCCTGCTACCCTTTGACTTTAAAAGGCATCAAAAGCAGTGCCCCCAAACCTCTGACACTTGTTCAGTCAAGGATGTGAGAACGCTAGATAAAGAAACCAACCAGGGGTACGCCAGGGGATGAGCACAGGGCATGTGGCCAGTACTGGAGCATCCGCCCACAGGTTGATTAGTATAAAGAAAAACCTGTCCCTGTACACAGTGAGGCTTCAACAAGCACCATCTTAACATGTGATCCAACAAGGGAACTAGCTGACATACTTTTTCCTGCCCTTTCTGGTGATAGAAATGCCCAACTTCACCGGTTATATGTTGATCAAATTGTTTTTTCTTCAAGACATGGTTTCTCTGTGTAGCCCTAGAATTCACTCCAAACTCCCAGAGATCTGCCTGCCTCTGACTCCTGAGTGCTGGGATTACAGGCGTGTGCCACCACCACAAGGCTTGATCAAACTTCTTAAAGCTATGCTTGTAAGTAAGTGTGAGGTATCAATTAAGTTCAGGCTATGGAATGCTCTCCAGAACAAATGGGCTCCATTCTTAAAATGTCAGTGAAATGGCTCAGTGGTTAAGAGCACTTGTTGCTCTTGTAGAAGACCTGGGTTCAGTTCCCAAAACATACATGATGGCTCACAACCTGTAAGACCTGATGCCCTCTTCTGACCTCCTTGGGCACCAGGAATGCACATGGGACTCAACATACATGCACACAAAATACTCATATACTTAAATAAATCCAAAAAAAATATTTTAAATGTCAGTTTCT